ACTGGTATAAATTTAGTTCCATCAATGGAACTGTATCATGTAGACTTCCAGAGAACTGGATTAAAGATGTTGGTTATAGATACATGTGAAACTAGAGTCAATCAGAAGAAATTAGCATATTCATTTTTATTCTTCAGGGGTAATGAAAAAAATAGGCAGACCGATTCTGCTTAGGTTTTCAAAAGACCACTGATCTCTGAACTGACAGCAAGCACAAAAAAGTTTCTCAATATCAGTAATTTTCCAGAAAGTTACAAAATGTAAAAAAGAACCAGTTAAAATGGAAGCTTCAATGCAACTGTAACTATATATTTTACAAGTATGATGATAATATTTTTTTACTATTTCCTCGACTTAGAAAAGATCTGTTATGTGAAAAAGAGGATTTTTTAAAAATTATTTTGTTTTTATGGTGTAATGAATTTCACCTAAGAAAGCAGGAGTCATTTCAGTGGTTTTCACGGTCCCAAGCCTCAACTTGAAGTACTAAGAACCAAGACCTTAAGAAAGCAGTATTTCATTTTTTTATTTTTTTCCATTTTGAAAAAATATATATTATCAATATTTTTCCTGGGACTAAAACAGAGTTTGTTCACTGTTCTTTATGTGCCCCCACACTCAACAACAGTCAAGGATAAATTCATGGAAACCCAATTACTTTACCTTGAAAGATTCACCATACAATACTTAATGCATTAATCTGGTGAACAGAAATGTACATTAAGAAGAATGCTTGTTCTTTTAATGTGACCATTTGTGAATGTTAATTTGAACTTAAACAGAACAAGTGTGGAAGGATGTTCAAAAGAGTTCACAACATTTGCATGATGGTAAAGAACTGTATGCGGCTTCTGTGTACATAGTAGGCGCATGTTGAGGTGTCTTGCTCCTTACTCTCATAACAATAGGTCATATAAGCATTATATACTGTATGCCAAATATAGAGTTAATGGAACAAACAGAGCTAAAAGGGCAAGAGAGCTGGAGAATTTCAGTTGTGTCATTAATTGTGCATTAAGATGATATTTAATGTTTCTCTATTTAAAAAAAAAAGGTTTTCTACAGTCAAGGTGAGTCAGAATATAAGCAAGCTGAGACAGGACTCAGTAGTTAAACCAGAAAAAAAAAACAACGGAAAGAAGAAAACAGCCCATTTTCTCTTTATTGGATTTTAGCCCTTAAAGGTTCTGTGAATAATAATGATCATCCTCAAGAAAATGTATTTTACATTGTCTTAAAAAAAAGCCACCCCAAAGATATCCTGTAAATGAGATTACCATTTCAAAACTATTATTTAAAATTAATTTTAAAAGCTAAAGATTTGGAATATTTCTAAATACAATCATTCATTTGTTACCATGCAGCTTCCAGGCATGTTATTACCAGGTGTAACATATGATTTGTTACAGTTTATTAGAAAGCTGATGAGCATTTCAAAGTGACAAAAGCATTTTCATCCACACTTAACTGGCAATAATCACAATCAAACAAGAGGTGACATTTAGAAACAAAGTCTGAAACATGTAATCCTTTACCAATTCTCTAATCCACATCAGTTTGGCTGTTGTCCTAACTTTCAGAGAAGTTTTACAGTAAACTGTTTACTTTTCTCAAACATCTCAGGGCTAAATTGTGCCCACAAGAACTATGCATGGATAAAGAGGATCTTCTGGTTCATTGCCTGATCACTGGAAAAATACACTATTCTTGCTCTCCCTTCCCTTCCCACCCACCTCCACAATGAACACACATGAAATTACCCCATATGAAGAATAATAAAGCTAGATGTGGTGGTGGTATATGAGACTAAGGCTGTAACATGACATGATCCCCATTATTAACTTTGCAAGGGATCTCTGGAAGAGTTACTAGTACTGCTTAGCCTGCTCCCAATGATGTTTATGCATTTCATCCAATGAGTACTGGTACCTAATACAAAATGAATAAATAGTATTGGGAATGGGTCAGAACACAGGGCTTTGGTCCATCCCAGAGGGCACAGTCAGACTCCCTCTTAGTTCATAACCTGGTTGTTAGCCCACCCTGCAAAGAAGGGGAAGATGTAGGCTCTAATTTCCTCTCACTGAGGAAGGCCTAGAGCCAAGGTCTCCCATATGTTAGGCAAGGGCCCTGACCAGTAGGCTATTACTGGGCATAACATGGAGGAGTCCCCTTCATTCCAGTGGTATGCATAATATCAGTTCCAAGAAATCATTCAGTGCCAGTTTTCTCTATTTAATAAACTGGGGACTTAAGTGGAATTCATGAGCTTCCTAAACGGAACTGGATCACAAGAGTGCTTACGTCTAGGTGGACCGTCTGCTTACTCCTCAACACGTATAGTAACACAATCCTAATTACATAAGAATCTGTTCCAGCCAAAATGGATGCACATAAGGAATTTAGCCATCTTAGTGGTCTGGTGGCTACTGATTGGTGTCAAATATGCTGCACTTAGTGACTTTGACATAAGATCCGCTTTGATGTCAGAGACACAGAATAAGACCTGGTGCATAATAGGGGTGTGTGAAATGGGCCATGTTCAATTTGGATTCAGCCCATATCAGGGACAGTGATTCAATTAGTTGATTCAGATCACTGTCCCCAATTTGATTTGGCCAAATCTGAATCTGAAGATTCGATGCTGATTCGGAGAATCAGTGATTCGGCCATAGACACAGCTTTAAATGTTTTTTCTACATACCTTGAGGTACCAGGAATGGATCGTGAACCCTGCGATGCTGGGGTGGATGGTGTGTCCCACAGGAGCATGGGGCCCCCCACCGCGTGCTCAGTAGAGAGCCAGGAAGCGGACCAGAAGCACTTTCAGTCCACTTTTGAGTCTGCCAGGGAGCGTGCCAAATTGGGCCGAATCTCCGCCAAATCGAATCAGGGACTGAAGCTACGCACAGCCCTAGTGCATATTCAGAACTACTTGCCTGAGAAAAGAGGCTTTCCCTAGGGAAGAATTATGAGCATAAACCCTAAATCTCCATCTGTAAAAATATTAATCAACTCTGCTGTAAAATAGCTGCAGTTATTCTAATGATGATCCCATGCAGTTATATACCACAAAGGCAACAATTCACAAAGTGGGCAGGTCATGCCTTACCTACTGTGAATTCTTTTGGCTGGTTGGGTCACATGCAAGTCTTTAGTTTGGCAATTCGCATCACTTTTTTCCAGGTAGCTGGGCAGGCTCAGGAGAACCCACCCCCTTTTTCTGCTAACTGCCAGCACATTCTTAGACAAGTTGTCATCCTGAAGAGCAGCTAAAACAAACAGTGTCTGACCAAGAAGAATAAAACTATAAACTGACTATGGGTCAATTAGCAATAAACATTTTCTGCTCAATGGATATCAAAGGTTCTGGTGGTGAGCCATTGGGGTTTTTTCCTCCTGCCAACTGCATGCCAGGCCTGGGAGTCATAGCAAGTCAGATGATCTGGATTCTGCAATTGGTTTTCTGTCTGCTCTGGATCAGTCAATCAGATTTTTTGTTTAGAGTTTCATGTCCTTGGGTTCAACCATCTCAACCTTCTGTGTTGGAGATTCTCTGAGATCTTCTTCAGAAGATGGCTGACTCGCACCTAAATCCTGGTTCACACACTAAGCATCTAATGTATAGCTGATGGCAGAGTCTTGATATAAACAACCAGGATCAGGAAGCCATCTTGCTTTTCATGTAATGATACCTAGTTCTCCTGTATTTTCAAGGGTCCATGTATACAGCTGGTGTGCCCACAGTGCTGAATTCTACTTCACCCTGCTGGGCCATGTAGATTTTCCATTGATTTTGGTAGGCATCATTTAACACCTTCAGAGATCCCTCTGTTATTTAAGAGGCACATGGGGAATTCCTCCAATGGGGAATTTTAACTTCTGCTACAACATGTTTGGATTCTCATAATTCTAATTCCCTTTGACTGCATATGGCATACAGGTCTCAGACATCTGTGTGAATGCTATAAAGATCCCCTTCCTCCACAAACAGACTAGTGGTTCCAGCACTTTGCCAGGACATGGAAGACTTAGGCTATAGGGGTTTTGAATTTAAACTTATTTTTTCCTGTTAGAGATCCCTAGTCCCCAAGTAATGGAGTAGATACAGCTGTTAGCATCCTCTGCCCCTTTCCTCTTGTCCCATTGGATAGCCAAGAGAAGAAAGATGCGGCCAGAAGGAAAGCAAGAAAGAAGCTGCCTGACTCCGTAGCCTAGGTAAGAGGGCCTTGCCCTGCCCTGCCCTGGCCTGCCCTTGGAAAGTGGGAACCTTGGGTTCTGGCCTCTGTTCCCAAGGCTGTTTCTGCATCTTATACAACAACACTTTAACACTAAACACATCACAGACACTAATGTATATCTGAAGTTATGCCGTTGTATGTCCTGGAACTATTTTGCACTGCATTTTAGTGACAAGATCTGGCCCAGTGGAATCACACCAGTCCCTCTACCTGGAGAGAAAAAGAAAGTCTGGTGGACTGATAGTAGCAAGCCTCAGGGTCTTGGACTTTTCTTTCAGAAAATAAGAAAGCCCACACACTCACAGCACTTGGTATTCTCCAGGCCATCTTGTCATGTGGGACACCAGCTGACTCTACTGTGACATTTCTCATTATGCATCTCATCTGCCCTGCATAAGCTGGATGTGTGGTGAGAAGTGTCACAAATATTGTATACTGTAGTTTGGGCATTGGCTGGGGTCTAAAGCTCTTGTGGGGGGGTGTGATCCTGTTACTACAGTCTTCTGAGAATGTATTAACTACTGCCCTGTCAATGAAATGACAAGGCATTGGCAGTGCCCTTTAAACCCATGGCATTAAACCCATGGCATTTTAAAGGTGGCTTGCTGTGTTCTGAACTTTGTTCCTTATCGCTGCATACAAGAGCTTAAAGTGGCCATTTGGAGGATTCCTTCAGCAAATGAATACCTGTGAATGCGAGCAGGTGGATTCAATGGCACATGAGGCTCCTTCCAATTCTCTGTTTCTACTCCAGTCCCACAGGAAAGAAGTTTCAAGCAGAGGAAGCAGGATGGGAAGAAGCCTGCTCTCTGTCCCTAACTGCTATTTATCAAGTATTGTGAAGTGCACAGAAAACATTAGAAGCAAGCGTTCATTTCCCCCTAACTACAGCAGCATACAGCTCCCTGAGCCACAGTCAGACTCCCTCTTGCTTGTTCTCCTTCCATCCCTGTGGCTTAGCCTCAACAGGAAGGGGTTCTTAGCCCTGCCTGCCCTGAGGGTTAAGTATCTCTCTTCCGGTGTGAGCATCAGGATCCAAATCCCACTAGGGGGAAGCAAACCTTGACCCTGGGTCTTCTATGTTCCTCCTGTCTGAATTAGCACTCTAACCACTAGGCTGCTGAGCAAAAGGATACACACCCCATGACTTTTGGTCAGCTACAGTTTCTATGATTTACAGAGCACTTCTGGGCATCCAGAGCAGACCTGAATTGACATGGAGCAAAGATGGACTGGGATACATTTGACACAGCACTGATTCCCTTTGAGCATGCACAGCAGGGACAGACTGAATCAGATAGGGGGAAACAGCACCTGCAAATTAGGCTGTTATGCAAGGTAAAGTACAATGTTAATGGGAAGCAGGGATATTTAAGAACTGCACAAGTGATGCTCCTAAATTTTAGTCAGTGAAACAGACTTCTGCCCTCAGTATCTCTGACTGTTGTTTTACATCATAGATCTGCATGGTATTATTTTCATGAAATTGGTGGGACCTCACAGGACCCCAAATCATATTCATTTGTTGTTGCTGCTGCTGCTGCTTTGCTTTCTCTGCTGTTTCCCATCTGTTTTAAGACCCAGTGACTCTGGCATTTGGTTTTCTGTTGAACAAAATGTCAGCAGATGACAACTCATGCTCCATTAATGCTGTTCTGTAATTTAACAGTGATCCATAAGGATCAGAGCCACACTGTGGACCTTTTTAATGCAAACTTACTTACATCTATATAATTTTTTTACCAGCTTTAGGTCAGTCATAAACTTCTCCTTTTTTGTACACTGTTTTAAAACCGCATTTTCCACCTATTTCTTTTTCACATAAGTGGCAGTTCCATTGCTAACCTTCTCTGTCTGAGTGAACTGAAAACTATTGAAAACATCAGGTACTTCAGAAGCACTTCTTCAGAGGGCTACTTTTGGACTGTCTTCATGCTTGTGGGCTCCCACTTCTTGCAGATACAAAGTAAAAAGCCGTTTAAACCCTCCCCGGCTGACCTGCATGTTTCCACAGACTTTCAATGCTGGTGGGACTTCTAACTGATCCTTTTTTCCACTTTGGGCATTTTCCTAATTCATTTTACTACCTTGTCTTTGCTACATAGCCTGTGTTCAAAAAATCTCTCAGAACCAGAGTCTGAAAAGAAAGGTCTGCTTTATCTCGTATCTGAGTTTTAATGCATCAGCATTATGTCATCATATGCCTCTGAGCAACACGACAACCAGTTCCAACTAGCTCTTGCAAGTAATTCTCAAAGGAAGAATTCCCCACACCATGGAGTCCAGGGATTGAAAAGAAACTGCCACAGAACTTCCCTGAGGAAGTCTGTGCTCAAAAGAAATCCTGCATAGTCATGGGTGCATCCAGGATTTTGTAAAGTAGGGTGCAGGAACATTGCATGGGTGGCTGCACATCTGCTCCCAGCTTCCACCCACCACCGGTGGGGCAGACCCTGCAGCAGAAGCAGGAGTGCAGGACTAAGTCCCCAGTCAGGTAAGAATGTACCCTCCTGGGTCAGTCCCTCTTCCCTTCCCACCTGTGTGCAGCAACTCGTCCCCTCTCCTCCATTCCCCACTCCCTCACCCACCACTACCAATGTCCTCATTCCCTTTGGCTGCTCCAGAGGCAGAGGGGGTGGTTTCACAGCCACTCCTTCCCAGTGTTGCCAGGTGCATGATGATTATATTTGTTCAATAATTTCAACCCCTGTACAATGTACAATCAATAACAGTAAAAGTGTTCAACGTGTATGAAAATATTTGAGGCAGCTAATTGATGCAATATATGCAAAACCCATGTCATTCTCGGAGAGATTTAACTGACTTTTGGGTTTGTTTGGGGGTTTTTTGTTTTTGTTTTTTAAGGAAAATTTTTCATGTCCCAAGTCAAATCAGCCAAATCAATTCCAAATCCATGAGTCATTCAAGAACCATATGTGGCCCTGCTACCAGCAAGCACCCTCCACCCCTGCCTGGGGCTTCAGATGTTTCCAAATCCTCTGTCAGACAACCTATGTCCAGGCCCAAACCCAGAGGCTTGGGGTACAGATACCTATGAGTTTCACTTGCCCTCAGCCCTATGACTGCAGAAGCAAGCTAGGGAGGAGTCTCCCATTTCTATAACGTTGGTGTATAGCCAAGATGTTCCCAATAGAAGTGAAAGTGGGAGGCTAACTACGCAATACCTTGGTCAGGGTAGTACCCCTGCCATGTTAGCGGTTTTCCCCAGCCACTAGGAAAACCACCTTGGTGCTCATGGTAGTTTCCCTGCCAGGTAAGTTTCTTATGATCACTTGCTTCAAAATAAAGAAATACTTCAACTTTGGTGACCCAGTTCTTACTCACTCACTCACTCGCAATATAAAGTAAATAAAAAGACTTATTTGCATATGTATTTGCATATTTTTTCAGTATACCATAGTTTTTCAGCAAATACGATAATTTCGAGCTTCCAGTACGATAATTTCATATTTAAGACTAGGCAATGCTGACCCTTCCCCACTCCAGCTGGACTGCATAGGAAGCCAGAATCAGCGGAGGATAGCCACAGCAGTGTTAGCAGGTGCATTCCCTTCCCCCACACCTGCTCCTGGGCTGGCAGGGAACACCTGGGGTGGGGGAAACCTGGCAGGAAAGAAGCAGCTGTGGAGCAACATCCCCTCACCCCCAGGTCAACAGGGACAGCAGCAGCAAGGGAGTAAGTGGAGGGGGTGGGGAGGAATGAGATAAAACAGGATGTGCCACACAGGGGAAAGTGGGGGAGAGTAGATAAAAAGCCCCGGACTATTGCTGCCACACATCAACTGAAAGAGGGGTGCATCCGTGCTCCTGAACCCCCTCTGGATCCACCCCTTTCCACAGTTTAGACCACGGTGAAATGTTCCAGACCTTCGT